AACCACAGCGCGGCAGGAGCCAGGGTGCAGGGGGACTCCCTGCCCTGTAGATGTGCCCCGGCTAGCGGGGGGGGGGAAGGGGGAGGGAGCAGGGGGAGAGAGAGAAGGGGGGCGGCCAGGGCTTCAGTGGGGCGCTGCCATGCGGCCCCTCCCGCCGTGCCCCCTGCTGGGAGGGCTCCACTCCGCTCCGGTCGGCTGGGAGGGAAGGCCGCGGGCTGCCCTGCCGGGGTTGCTGCAGGGCGCTCCCATCCTCCACGCCGCTGCCCCCTACAGGGCGGCCAGAGCGGAACAACAACAACAACAACAACAACAAAAAAGCGGCCGTGCTGCCCTAGGATTGGGCGGAATGCCGCCTCCTACAAGCTGCCACCCCAAGCACCAGCTTGCTTGGCTGGTGCCTGGAGCCGGCCCTGATTCTCGGTATCAGAAATGTTATGAGAAAACAAGCTCTTTAGTTCTACGTGGCAGTATTTAGAACAAAATCAGTCAGACAAATCTGGTATTGTATAGTCTGCATTTGGGTTAATAAGCTAAATTGCTCCTGCATACATGGAAGACTTTCTATCTTTTTCTCTCTCTTTTTTATAGGCTGCAATACCCGTGGTCGACAGGTAATATCAATAGTATTTTGTTTTGCTTTTCACGCCTTCTCATCCAAAATAATCTTCTGAAAAAGCTAATGTTGGGCATCCCGTGTTCTCAAGTATTTACTGATTTTGTGACAACGTTCTATCTTTGATAGGGGTGCACCGAATGTTACTGAAGCTAGGAGTTAGAGCTCTGCAAATCTTTCATCATTCTAGTTTAAACTGCCGCTGGAAAAGTCTCCAAAACAAGTTTAACAGCTTGAAACTGATTCTGAACTAATTTAATAAAGCACATATATAAGAGACAGAGCGTAACTAAGTCAGTGTCACTTTGCTTTAGTGATAGAAAACTGATTGCAATGACTGAAAAACAGGATTGCTCAAGTCTTAAAGAAATGCTCTGGATACAAAATCTGCCTAAACTGGGCTCTCTAAATACACTGATTAGTAACAAGCTTATTTATACATTAATAAGGAGGTTTAGTAAATGCAGCCGGGGTGCTCAAAACTGATAACATGAAATATAGTAATGGTCAGAAAAGAGCCCTGGGATATGCCAAATCAATTGCAAAATGTATGTTTTAATTCACTTCAGTCCATCATAAAAACAAGTAGAAGAAGAAGGGTCGGCTTCGTCTTTTTAACAACTGTATAGCACCTAGTTCACTCAGGCCCTGACCTGGCTACTGTAATATGAATAATAAACAAGAATGCAGTTTTTGGAGGCAACAGCTTGCTTCCTTCAGAATTAGAGCTTGAAGGGAAAACGTTCTCTGTCACCTGCTTAATAGGCCCACCCTATCTAGCATGCCAGCCAAACCAATGCAAGACCAAGAATGACAAGGAGATGGACGGTAAGAACTAGCTGCAGGATTTGGCCCAATTTGGATATAACTAAATGTGAGCATGAATCTTATGCAGGTCCGAGAATACATTTCTGAATACATGGTATGAGCAAGTGACAAATGGAAGCCAAGATATATCTTGTGCAACCATCTAGACATTGTTTAAGAAAGGACTTTGCTCTCTTTTTAGTGTGTCAGGTAAGGCAGCTTCTTTATTGAATGGTAAAATAAAGAGCTCTCTCTTCTTGTTAACACTGATGTTGTAGCCTGAAGGATCTCTCAGAGAGGATGGTACTATCTTATAGGAATTAGGCTCTTTTACACTTACAGGCTGGGAGAATTTTTAAAAAAAGATATGGATTTAGAGCTTTCAACACTGCCAGACTTTGAAGACAGAGTTATAGATTTCTCTGATGTTCAACAACTAATGGATTCCATTAATACCATCGCAGGTACTCATTCTATTTGATCCTTATTTCAATCCTATTTAAGATGCATTATCAATGTCATGTTGAATGGAAGCCTATTATTTACTCCTGGGGGAATTCTGCATCACTGCACATGCATAGAATTCGTGGCCCCCGCAGATTTCTTTGCTTACCACAGAAAAATGACTTCTGATGGGGAAGCAAAGGGAAGCCGCAAGAGCGGTCATGCGCCCATTCCCTGGCAGTGCAGACAGGTTGGTTTGGGCACCCAGAGCAGCTGGTAGACACATAAATCACCACCTGGGTGCAGGGGGTAGGGCTGGGTAGTCATGTGTGTGAGAGAGAGAGAGAGACACACTGTCCGGCTCGCTATTGCAGAACGCTCGGTGTGGAGGGGCAGGGCTTTGGGGTGTTTCTGAAGAGGTAGGCATGGGGCAGGCTCTGTTCCCTCCGGCAGAGGAGAATGTAGTAGCCTGTCTGCTTAGTGAATTTTTCCCATTGTTCTTAGTGAATTCCCCCAGGAGTATAAAACTGGTGTAAAAATTTCAAGGCTCCTTTACATTGTCAGAGTGGTGTAAAGGAGCTTTACTGTAAAGGACAGTGTGGCCTAATGCTGCTTTAGTGATTAGAACTGGTCTAAATTTTTGGACTGAAAAAAATTCCTATCAAAATGTGCTCCATGAACTGTTTGCTACTGACCTTTTTGGAGATGGTCAGTGGCCAATATAAATTGTGAGTTTGAGTCCCCAGCCCTCATTTGCTCTTCAGTTGCCTATGATGTAACATTGAGCATATGGCTGCATATATTTGTTGACTAATAATTAGAAGTAAAGGGTCAATACTAGCTACATTACTATTAGACAGAGGGGGGTTGGTGATTTCCTCCAATGCTCCCCACTCCCATTCTCTATCCATTGTATTGTAGTCTAAATAAATTACCAAAATAATTGAAACTAGCTGGATTATATTGGTTTATTTTGACAAAAAATATGCAGAATTTTGCAAATTTTAAAATATTGTGTGCAGAATTTTTAATGTTTTGGTGCAGAATTCCCCCAGGAGTAATTATTTATTTAAAAGGGAATTTGCGAGGACAAAAAGTTAGCTTGTGTGCTTATATATTTTGTTTGTTTGTATATTTATGATGGATAAAAGAGGCTTGGAAATTATTGTCAGAAATTTTTTTTCTGCTTGTTTTTTAACCTTAGAATTATCAACACTGTCAAGTATGGTCTTCCCTAGTTTTGCTGGGTGACTTTATTGGAAGACTCAGAGAAGTGGGTTCAGAGTTTTCTCAGCTTTTCCTTGAAGTAGCAGTGGTGCTGACTCTGTAACAAACTTGTCTTTCCTTCTAGCTCATTGTACTAAATGGAGATTAATAAAAAACAAAAGCAAAAGTTTAAAACAGTTTGAACCACTTCTCCCAATTAATCAGATTTCAGTTGCTTGCTCTCCTGATATTACCCTGTAGTTCTCCAGTCATCCCTGGAGTCCACAAAGGAAAACAGGGTACATAAGGTTTGACTTCCTAATTATTAAAAAAAATCCCCTTTGAAAATAAGATCTTTCAGGCCTTCTTTATATATCATAAAGAGTCAGAAAAGGCATGGCACTTTTTTTTTTCTTTTTGCTGGTCACCTTTAAAAAGTTGTATCAAAATGTTTGTCATGTAACCTGTTTGCCCTTGAGCATTATGCAAGTCAAGTATTTTACATGTTCCCTCACGTTTGTGCATTCAACATTATCTCCAGAGGCTCCTAAATACTGGAACTAAAAGCTTTATCTGTTGGTAGGCAATAGTGCAGATCACTATAGACTTCTCTGCTACAGCTTCCTTCATCCTGTTAGCTCTGCATCCTGTGTGGTATGAGACAGCTTCCAGTTTTCCCTCCCTTTTTCACAAAGAGTAAAATTAACCTATATGCACAGGGCCAGCAGCTCTCAGGACAACCAAGCTTAGGGAGCTGCCTTAGGCTGAGGTTTATGTTTTTGTTGATTTAAAGCAAATCCCAGGAAGTGGGTGAGTTTGGACCAAACACTAAGGGGCCTGGTTCTCATTCCCACTAGTTTTACACACTGACTTTAATGGTGTTACTCATGATGCACACCAATGTTAGTGAGGGTAGAATCAGGCCCAGTGTCTGTAGACTCTAATCAGAGTCAGGGCTCTGTGTTAACATGGGGCTAGTCTATGCTGTGCAGCAGGGGTGTGTGCGTGTGTGTGTGTAAGTAAATTGTAGAGCACTCTAAGTGTTGCACTCTAACAGCTCCGGGTAGATGCTGCTGATGCGCTCTGAAAGGTTCCCACAGTAGTATAGTACTGTTTGCAATAGGACTATGTCAATGCACACTAGGTACCTTTTTGGTTTTTCTCTGTTAGTAACATACCATGCTTCCACAGAGGGAAAGTACCCTCATGCCATTTAACGTTAAAGAGGGAAAGATCCTGTTCCTCTCATCACTGACATGTGTTCATAAACTGAAATATATGTCTTCATTTCAGCTCCTTCTGCTCCGGTGATAAATCCCCAAGCTCCCAACTCAGCGACTGGCACCTCTGTGAGAGTATGCTGGGGCCTATTCTCCGATGACACTGTCGAATTCTACCAGCTATATTATAAACAAGTCAGTGACGACACACCTAGTGAGGAGCAAGCTGGTAAGAAGGGACACATGTAGGCTCCAGTTCAGAAAGCAACTGGCTTCTGAGACCATTTTCAACAGCAGTCTCAAAAAGGGTTTCAGTGAATACAGCTGTACCTGCTGCTGCTAGTGCTCCGGGGATGGGTAGTGGATCTAACTTGAGGTATTTTAGAGCACAGCTCACCAGATTATCTATGTGCCAACTTAAAAACCCACAATCATTTCGCAGTTTAGCTCAATGCCAATAATAGGCTGCAACTCTCCCCTCCTGCCCAGCCACCCCAGATACAAAACTGCATTAGCTAATCCCGTTTGTAAGACTGCTTGTTCCAGAGCACAGTCAATTTTCCAGCATAGATGGAGACCTGAGAGTGCTGAATGGGCTGTTTAGAAAGGAAAGCCAAACCCATGTAAACTTTACAAGATCCAAATAATGAAAACATTCTTTGAATGGCCTCTGCACATTTCCACTGTTGGGATAAATTGACAGTGCTTGGGAATGTGCAGAGTCCATCCTGAAGAAACTCCAGTGACAGGTGAGTAACCTTCATCATTCATTTTTGTTTAGTTTGGGTAGTATTAATACTACAGAAGATGATGCTTCATGGCATTTATGTACCCATATAGGATAGATGGATGAAGGCACCAGCAACTGTACCATGACTGAGTTAGCAATGTGACCTCAGAGCTAGTCAAACGGACAAGACCGAAGAATGGTGTGACACTCAGCTCAGAGGCACAATAAAAAGCAATGTTTTCCAGCAGTCGGGGCCATGGTTCAGTAGGATGAATGTCTGTGTAAAGGAACTGCATGAATACCTGGTGTTTTTGATTTCAGAGCACATGCTAAAAGTGAAAGAAGCATACTGCACAGTAACTAACCTGGTGCCAAATTCACAATATGAATTTTGGGTCAGTGCTTTAAACACCACCGGCGTCAGCCCAGTGAGTGAAAGAGCAGTTTATGTGACAGGTAAATGTACTTCATGACTATAATATGAGTAAATGACTTTAGTATTGAAGTTAATGATAACTCTCTGGACTTTATAATAATAATACTTTATTCAAACTGATTCTGCTGGCTTGGTGCTTTTAGTGCGGTGTAACTCCATTGGATTCAGTGGCATTCCTCCTGATTTATACTAGAATAATAGAGAATGGGCATGAGGCCCATTATCCTCATTTTAGAGACGGAAAACTGAGGCACAGAGGTTAAATGACTTATTCAAGGACACAAAACAAGGTATTGGCTAAGTAGGGTGACCAGACAGCAAGTGTGAAAAATCGGGACAGGGGGTGGGGGGTAATAGGCGCCTACATAAGACAAAGCCCCAAATATCGGGACTGTCCCTATAAAATCAGGACATTTGGTCACCCTATGCCTAAGCTAGGAATGGAACCCAGCTCTGCTGGTTCCTATATCTAAGCAATGGACAATGCTACTCTCTCTTCAGAGGTTTGTAAAGCTTTTGCCATTTTGTCCATCAGGCCGCACTTTGTAATTGCAGCGCAGTAAAGTAGATTTTGATTCGTGATTAGACAGAGCCACAAAGTTCAGATCCAGATCTGAGCATCCCTAAATTTTGGTATGTTCAGATCCAGGGTTTTGGTTCAGCCCATCGTAGAGTGAGGCGGCCAGTCATGATAGCTGGATTTGGCTCCAAACTCCACAAAAATTCAGGCATGCTCAGGTTTAATTTAAACATTTTTTAAAAAAGTAAACATGAGTGCAAGGAGCACTTTTGAATAGGCAATGCTGTCAGACTAGAGGCAATTTAAGTAGAGTCTGTGGAATGCCTCATAAAATCTGAAATGCATCAGAATCAAGCACAGTCCCTAGTTAGCTGTTCTCTTTCCTAACACATTGGCATCTAACTCCCCAAGAGCAATTTAGAGTGAGAAGTCCTCTCTCCAGAAGATCTCCTAGGGCCTTAGGATAGCTGGCTGATGCTCTATTGTTTTAAATTAATAATCCATGCAGTGAAGATAAAGGACAATGGCAAGGATAAACCAACATGAAAAAGTGCTGGACCAGCAAGGATTCGCATTTTTTTCTGATCAATTGTTTTGTGGTTGCTATCAAAACTTTAACAGGTCAAAGAACGCTTCTGACTAGCACCGGCATTTATTTACCCAAGAGTTTTCTGTACATTGGGGAGGTCATGAATGCGTTTATCATTTAATATCAATTCTGTGGAAATTAAACAACAACCCAGGAGTGTTATTTACAAAGCATGTTTATAGATAATCCCATAACAAAATGGCTTAGAATCTATTTTATATACATTTTAGCTCCTTCACCTCCTATCATTAAAAGAAAAGAGAGCCGAAGCTGTGAAAATGGAGCACTTGTGTGCTGGGAATCTGGAAACATGAATCCTGTTGACTCCTACACGGTTGAACTGTCCAAACTAACAAATGGAGAGAATGGAGATATCATTACAGAGTGAGTCAGTCATCTATCACACAGTCTGGGGATATGAAACAATCCCTTGTTATATGGCATGCAGTATATTTCAAAGCACTTTTAGGTTGAAAAGATGAGACAATATACCCTGAAATATACGAGTGGATGATGCACAGCACAAGCGTTGGAAAATCATGAGCATGTTCCCTGTTTCCTGACTGGATAAGTTCCACTCCTATTAGTATTTTGGTGTGAACACATACAGAAAGCAAACTTAAAATTTGCTTTCCATATAAGAGAGGAGTCACTTTCTGTGACGTTAGTAAACTTGATTGCACAAATGTTGATGCAAAGTGAATTTATAAGGAATTAGAATGTGGGTGAAGTGCAGTAATTTTAAAATCTGAATAAACAGGCATTTTCCCCTCCTATATTCACTCTGGTGGCAGCTAAGCTGGAAAGAGTAAAATACTGTAAATGGTTCTAGGTTTAAAGAGAAGCTAATCATTTAATTGTGTTGTTTGGAAAATAGCTTCTAAAGAATTTACCTTTATTCTTATAATTCTCCATTTGTTTATTTTCTACAGATCTATTGTTGGAATTCCTAACTGTGAAGCTCTAATTCAACTGGAGCCAGGACAAAGTTATATTATCTCTGTAAGAGCTGTAAACATGGGTGGTCCAAGCGAGAGAAGTGAACCTGTCTCTATCCACACCACAGGTGCTGTGATAAATCTCTAATTAGCTTTAAAAGCCTGATCCAAAGCCCACTGAAATCAATGGAAAGATTGCCACTGATTTCAACAGGCAATGGATCAGGCTCTAAATCTCTTGCGTCTAGTCACACGTCTGGTATTTCTTGTGAACTGAATTTCTTGTAATAGTAAATATATCATTTGAACTCTACATTTCAAAATGATGTTTGTGGATTATATTTGTTGCTTAAAAATTACTGATGTTTCAAAATGCTGCTGAAAGACTAAATCAACCCAGTGACCGTGGGTATTTGCCATGAACCTACACCATGTCAAATGTTGACATGCAGACAAACCAGGAGGGCTAGTTGGTAATTTTTCTTCACTCCTAGAGTTACTGCCTCATAAAGATGGCGCTTCTGGGAATTATGGAAGAATCAGTCAATCAGCACTTTTCATAATAGTTACGCAAATCCCTCCTGCACAGAATTTCTATTCTTGGCCATGAGGATGATTATGTGGTCTGGTTCCCTTTACTCTACAATTGTAATCATGTTATTATCAAGTGTGTGACATTTCAACCAGCATAAATCAATCTAGGTATTTGAAATTACAAACAGCCGCTTGACTTCTGTTTGCGCTGCATGTGTTTGCTTTCAGTAACACATGCCAATAATTGCCATGCTGTTGTTTGTATTGTATTTGCATTGAAGTAACTGCATTTTGATTATGCTGATTTCCCTTGGGATTAGTGCCAAGAGATTTACCTTCACAAAGTCTACATTATGCAAACTCCTGGTATTACTGGAAACGGGAAACACAAAACTGGGATGCTAGCAATGTCATCAGCAGTGAAAATGGACGCCCTGGGTTATCATCAGAAAGTGCTTTTGCTGGGGATGAAACACACACTTTCATTATTACCCCTGCAGCACATGTTGCTCTTCTCCAGCATGCCCTGGACACAAAGCATCCCTGCTGCACCAGGGCCAGAATTAGGGGCTGTCTCATGGGAGACAGGGACAAAGGTTGTTTTACGCTACTTATGCGCTTCCCCTTTGCTGGGCTGGCCAAAAGTTGCTTTGGCCCCCAGTCAAGTTAGAGCAGCCTGAGGACTGCTCTAATTTACATCCAGTTGCCTATAAACTGTCTCCACGAGTCTCCAGGAATTAAAGATTATGTCATGTGATAAAACCTCCAGGAAAATGTCCAACCAAAATTGGCAACCCTACTATAAACTCTGGTGCCATGGTGCCAGTTAGGAATAACTGAAGCTCAGCAGCCTTCACCATCCCTCCAGACTCCCTAAAATATCCTGGCATACCCCTTGCCCTGAGTGTTCCTGTAGCCAGCTAAGCCTTCTCCACAATTGCCAGTGAACCTTCTCCCCCCCATTCCCAGGTAGAAGGAGTTCCCTGGGAAGCACCTACCGTTGCTTGATAGCAATTCATTTCACACCAGTGGAACCAATGTACAGTAGCTGCACTGCAAAAATGAACTGGGCCCCACGTTTCTCTCTTTCTCTGCTGGTTATAACAGCATTAACATAAATACAAAAAAGCAGCCTTTTGCTTCTGCTGGATGGGCAGCTTCAGTTTTGCTCATTTTTGTTAGTGTGTCATCTGGGCAGTGGCAGTGACCCAGCAGGTCTTACCTGCTACCTAGCATAAGATTCTAGTGCAAAAAGTTCTTGACCCTACTGTGAATTCCTGAGTCCGGCTTTGGCCTCTTCGTGCTGTCTGGGGATTTCCCCAGCAGGAGATTCTCCTTGCATAGGGGAATCCCTAGGTGATGTAGTGCACCATCTAGCTCCACATTCCCAGGAATAGGACAGCAAGTGCATTGTGCTCTGGTGATCCCCTGCTGGCACGCTGACCCATGGGGGCCATACTCAGTCAGGACTAGTTTGGAGCAATCCTACATTAGGGGCCGAAAAGACCCCTGGATTGGGGAGCTGCAAATGGCTCCATTGCAGCTTCTGCAACCAGTACTTACAGGCAGCAGTTGAGGATTGAGGCCATAGTGAATAATTTAAACCCCTTTCCCAAGTCATTATTTTTTTTTAATACCTTTTGGATTATGATAGAGATGAGCCAAAACTGGAACTTCAAAACCCACCTCATAGTATTTCTGAGAGGGTGTAACATCTTAATACTTGGTTCTCAACCCAACTCTTGGCTTTTGGTCCTAGGCCAGACGAGGCCTGTTTTCTGTATCAGGGTGGCTGTGGACAGAGATGTGTTGGTAAGCTTTTGGCCCGTAATGGAGGAAACTCACAAGATCAGCCTCTGGCCCATTTCCAGTTCCCTAATTAACCCTAATCTGGATCCAGCCCCTGCTCTCCAGCCCAGTGTTAGTTTATGTCTACATTACTTAATGCAATTTCTAGGTGCTGAGACAAATAAATTACAACCATTCTGCTCTCTTGTAGGCACTTACTTTTATCTTAATGAGGACACTGCCCATCCTTTGCTGTCTGTTCTAGAAGATGGATTAACAATTGCTTGCAGTGAAATAGAAAACCTAGAATGTGATTTGTCCTTCCGTGATAACGGTTTTACAAGGTACACATAGGAATTTAGCACTCACAGCAGATGTACTTTTTTCATAGCTGGTTGTTTTTTGTTTACTTGCAATAATTTTAAATTCTCTTCAAAGGGCTTACTGACTTGATATCTCTTTTTATGTTCAATCTAGGCACAGATTAACCTCTACCGTGCCAAATGAAAGCCTCAGGGCTGCATGTTGCTCTTTTAGCACTGTGTTTATAATGTACAGTGGTCTCATTTTTCAAAAGTGCCAATAAATGCCTCCATTTTTGGGTTCCAAACGCAAGGCACCTTAGAAGGGCCAGATTTTTCAGTGCTGACCACCTGCTCTTTGAAAATAAGGTCCCTTTATGGCATTTCAAATTGGGCCACCAAAATCACTTGTCACTTTGGAATGTGGTAGGCCATTATACTGATGTGATTCACACCATGAGCTTGATAAGTTGGCTTTTATCACACAACTTTTTTTCAAGCATAAAATGCAGATTCAGCAACACTGAAGCATTTAGTAAATTAATGTGGATTGCACAGAATTGTCATAGTAAATACAAATAAATAAAAATCAAACCATTTAGTTTAGCTACTTTCAAAACAAAACACTGATTTTTTTTCAGTTAGAAACAACTTTGACTTTCAAAATCTCCTTTAGTTGTATTTAAAAAACAATAACAACAGTTACACTCGGTCAAAATTTAAAAAAATCTTTTTGATTTTGTCAAAATAAAATATTTCGTTCGACCCAAAAGGCAATTTCTTCTGATTTTTCGATTTGCTGAAAATTTCAAAAAAATTCATCATTGATTCAACTAAAGTTTATGTTGGCATAACTTATGTCACTCAGGGGCGTGAATAAACCACCCCCATGATGACATAAATTACACCAACATAAGCACTTCTGTGCACAGTGCTAAGTCGGCAGGAGAACGCTCTCCCGTCAACATATAGCATTTTCACCACACGTGCTGCAGCTGCATTGGTACAGCTGTTTGTCTGAGGGTGGAGATGGATGGCAGGAGAGAGATCACTTATGTGTAGACATGCCCTCAATCTCAGTGCAAAGGTGATTGTTTTAAACTCACTTCAGTGTTAGCTCTCCAGCACGCCCAGAATAGGGGAGGTAGGGAGTGTAAAGCCACCTTTGCCTCTACACCATGCATGGGCTGAGCATAGCTTGGGAACTGAGACTCTGACCCTCAGACATTCGCAAAAAGCCCTAATTTTTTGACTTAGTCCCTTTTCAGAGCAGAACTCCTTTAAACGGCTTCCAGGCTCTGTCGCTTTGTAATCAAAACCACCCCAGCCATTCAGAGGGACATTGTTATTGAACTTCATATTTTTTTTGCTTGCTGTTCATTTTGTAGCATCATTAGAATTTCCTCTGTGATTGCTTCAGCTCGTGTTATATAAATTATATCATCCTTCTCATTGCATGACACTTGCGCACATAGACTGATTTCTTGCCTTTGAACCTCATTTCCCTTTTAATTCTGCACAGAGCCCAAAGCCCAAAGATGAATGTCACAAAAACTGCTCAAAACCATACGCTCTTAATCCGGCAGCAGTGGGATTTGAAAATTAGCATAATTACTAGATTTTTTTTTTTAATACAATGATCCAACATTTGCACACTTCATAGGCTTCAAGAGGTAGTGGGAGTTCCTTCCCTCCCTCTCCTATTACTAAACGCTGCCAAAGTTGCCATGGCAATGCCGCCTCACACGTAATGGAACACAGGGATGTGTCTATGAGTTCTTATTCTTGCTATTCATGGATAGTGATATTTGGGGCTGTTTTTATCTGTTGCTATTGAAAGGAAAACACCTAACCTGCTTCTTACTAACGATTAACTATGGCTAAAATTTTCAAAAATGCCCAATTGACATAGGAGCCTAAATCCCATTTTCAACAGTGACTTAGGTAGTAAGGCCCAGATCCCCACAGGTATTCAGATGCATAAGGGCCAGATTTTTAAAGGTATTAAGATGCCTAAAGATGCAGAGAGGCCCCTAGTAGAATTTTCAAAAACACATAGGTGTCTAACTCCCACTGATTTCAACACCTTTAGGTGCCTAAACATATTTTAAAATCTGGCCCTTAGAAACCAAAGATTAATTGAAAATTGGTGCAATTTAGTAGCCTAAGGGCCAGATTTACAAAGGTATTTAGGCACCTACAGATGAAGATAGGTGCCCAGAGGGACTGACAAATGTGCTTAAGCAGGTTAGAAATTTTCAATAGGAGTTAGATGCCTGTCTCCCTTTGTTTCAGTCGAGTTGACCACCTAAATACATTTGAAGATCTGGGCCTAGGTCACTTCTGAAAATGGGATTCAGGCTCCAACTGTTACTTGCTTAAACTGAAGCAAAAATATCTATTTTTATTAACAATCCTGAGATGAGTTTTTAAAAACTGGAATCTAGCTGCATTCGTTTAAATTACACTAGTCTCAGCATTTCAACACGGCCCAACCAGGAGTCCGGAGTGCTAGGCCACTCTCAGAGGCAGGATATTAGACTATATGGACCATTAGTCTGGCCCAGTATGGGAACTCCCATGTGCCTGTGTCTATGTGAGGGCCCCCACCTCCTAGCACCCTTCTCCCATGTGCAGAACAGTAGTTAGCCCAGAGGATTTGAACCTCAGTGTTTTGATTTTGAGCCAAAAATTAGGCCTTTTTATATTTAAAAGAACCAACCCACCATTGCCCAGGTGAAGCATGCATTTGCTACAGCCATACACAGTCCATTTCCAGGCACTGTCGGGTAAATATCACAGAAGCAGTATGGACACTGCATTAGTACTGGGGGCGGAGAAAGCACAAAACTTAGCCCTTTTATGGAAAACATCAGGCCTTTTTGCCAATAGATGAGTGTGTGACTAGATGGCACAATGGTAAAGGAACCAGGAGCTAGAAGATTCTCTCCATTAAAGTCCATCTGATGATTCTGAATGGGAGTTCAGACATCATCCTAGGGGCTCTTTTATGTTGCACATAAATAGCTGGTGCTGGCACACTAATAATTCTGAACTCTGAGACTGAGTTTTTGAAGCTGCTGTGAACTGAACCCTCTATTATGCCAGGATACTGGTGTCGGAGAATTGCTTCCACACTGGAAACGGCTCCTGTGCCAAAATCACTAATACAAGTGCTACAAGGAAATTCTGCAGCAAACTTTTTTCAGAAAGTTTATGTAATCTGAAACCAAATAATGCATTTCCTAGCCCGCTAAATCAGAGACGGGTTTGCCATGCTGGCTTCTCAATCTGAATTACTATGGCAATCCTTTGTTCCCAGATGCTTGCACATCTTTTTTGGCACGTCCTCTCCTTCTTCTCCCCTCCCCCACCCCCCCAACTCATACAAAATGCAGGAGCAAGAATTCTTCTCTGAAATCAAATGCTCTGGTCTTGAGACATTTACTTGGGCTTCTAATGAACTACAGAATTGCTTTAAGTGGTTGCTGCTTAGATGTTGCATGGCCTAGGAATCTTTTCTCGCTGCTTATGCCCCTCTTCATGCATTAAGCTCCCGGCATGCCGGGATTTTAATCATGCCTAGAGGCAGCTGAGTTCTGTACTTTTGCCAGCTAAGTCCTTTGCCTTTGTAATTTACTTCCATAAAATAAAAACTGAGCCTGTAAATCTGCAATTAAAACTTATTTGTGTGATTTATCACCAGCTCTGCTCTGTGACATTGACATGAAGGGGGCCACAGCATTGAACTTTCCAGAGGAAGACTGAATACAGCTGGCTAGCCCTTTAGGACTCACTGCCCTTGATTAAGTGTAGTTGAGAAGTTTAAGTAACATACAAATTGCTAAAGGCACTAAACAAATTAACTCAGCCTCTGTCTAAAGGCCCCATGGGCCAATGAGATATAAAGACAAATTTGAGAGGGAACAAATTCAGAAGCAGTTTTGACACCCACCCTACTCTGCATACAAATACGGGGTTAGAGTCTGCCACTCTGACTCACGCTGAGTCTTAGCCTATTCATTAGCCCACGAAAGCTTATGCTCTAATAAATTTGTTAGTCTCTAAGGTGCCACAAGTACTCCTGTTCTTTTTGCGGATACAGACTAACACGGCTGCTACTCTGAAACCTATTCATTAAGTAGCCCCATTACTTCTAACACTTTGGTGTGTGGGTGGGTGAATTGGAAGGTAACAGTAAAGCCCTGGCTGCATGGGAGAAACACACATTTATAGCTAAGGGTTAGCTTGGCCATGTCCCCTTTTCCCTACTACACTGACAGCAAGGAGCGTATTGGAAGGGCCCCAATCTTGCTTCCAGACCACAAGCGGATCATGACTGCTCTGGGCCAGTTAAGCAGATGTAGGACTCGATTCTGCTGGCAGTGTGGCACAAGGTGGCTGTGCCATACCAGAGGATTAGACCCTGGGTTTCTGTGGATTTTACCTTTACTACAATAACCAGCCTGTGGAATTTTTAGCTAAAAAACACCCTGATGGAACTGTGGCTCTTATAAAGCCTGATCCTGCACCACTGCAGTCAATGGGAGTTTTGCTATTGACTTCAATGAATGCAAGATCAAGACCCCACTAAAGCACATTTGTCTGGCTCTATGCTGCTTGCTGTATGCGCTACTGGAAATGAAAATGCACAGTGAACAGAAACTGAAGCTTATTGCTAAAACAGTCTCTCCCACAAGCCTGATTTATCTGGCCTTTTAGCTGTGGTATGTTAAACCCCATCATGTTCATTCTGGTATAACAACGGTGTGTGCAACCTGTATCTTGGAACTCTGTTTCTAGCAAATTACTATTTGGCCTACAACCAAAAAATATATGCTGCTATTCTCTCTCTTCCTGTAAGATCTCAGCACACACTTTTATTGTATGCTATAAAACGCATAGACATACATCTAATGAAATTTTAACTGTTTAACAGGATGAGTAAATACTTCCTTTCTATTCTCTGGGCCAGAGCCTCAGCCGGTGTAAACTGAAACAGTTCCACTGACTTCAGGAGTATCAGTTTATGCTCACTGAGGAGCTAACCCACTTTGTTGTCAAGTCAGCTGGATCCACTTTTATTGGTAAATATTTAATGTTTGTGCGGAAGATTTAAGCATTTTAAATGGTATGCATATAAAATCACATGCTCTGATTTTCCTTCCCCAGATGTATTGCTATCCTGGGAAGCATGATACCATTCCAAGGGAAACATTACTGGGAGGTGGAAGTTGATGAAAATATGGAATACAGGGTCGGCGTGGCTTTTGAAAATACTCACAGACACGGGTACCTGGGGGCAAACAGCTCATCCTGGTGCATGAGACATATTGTCACACCAGCAAGGTAAACACTCTAGGCTGCATCACTCCAGATCCTTCAGGAGCCACAGCAAAGAGAGCTGTATGTGGCATCCAGCAATGGGCAGATTAAAAAAAGCCTAAGCCAGCCATTGAACACTGTGGTTGTGAATTTCCATCTTTGGCTCTGTGAACTGGTAATGGAAAGATATATTGGAAACATTATACAAAGGTCTTTTAAGCTGCTTAATGGCTCTAGCCATCAGCAGCCACCTCTCCATGAAGTGGGCCATCCCACATTTAAATCCAAACAAAACCAGTGTTGTAAAAGTTGGTCACAGACCCCCTTTTAGGTCATTCAAACCCCAACTGGAAACAGCCCAGGTGATGGATCAATTTAGACTGTAAATGATGTAGGTATTTGGCTAAACCCAGAAGTACATAATTGATTTGATTCCTTTCCCCCTGCTGAGGCACTTAATGGACATAACTAGATGCAAGGTGTCTTTCCTGCTCCTCAGCTAAGCCTGCAGGTCAGGACCCAGAGAGAACACGGAGTGCTCCTGAGCACAAGGGCCATTGCCAGGGTAGCACTTCCGGTGGTATAATATGGCCCCAAGGAGGCTGTCACAGCTGAAGTCTAGTGCCTCCTTTGGGGCACTCACCAAACTGCTGTAAGGGGATCCAGCCGCTGGCTCCCCATGTATTCAAAGCCTCTGGAGTCTCAGCAGAGCCCAGGCACTGTCCGTTTCTGGAGGTCCCTAGGCATGCTCTCAGGGTAGAGATCCTCTATCTAGCACATCCTCATGAGAGTTGCAACCATGGGATCCACACCAGACACCCCCTCACCCCACAGAGTAAACACGCAGTCTCCCAGAATCCACCTGAAGGTGTGAGCTTTTCTGGTTTACCTCCTCAAGGCGGCACACGATAGGCATAGCATATAATACACAGACACTTTGCACAGGAATCTACAGCACTTTTGCTCCTTAATAGCATGAGAAACGGGCAGATTTATACAAAAATAATAAACCTTACACACATTTCCCTGCCTCATTTTACTCACCGGTCCAGAGCATTCTTTGGGCTGGCGCCATCCAAGGTCCTTCTGTTGCAGTGCATGGCTTGGGCTCCGAAACATGGACCTTCTGCCCCCAGCTTGCCTATTCCAACCGACCACATTCCCCTCTTCTGCCCGAAACTTCCTGTGCGTGTCTCTCTGAGTCTTCTCCCTGCAAGTCCTTTTATCATCTCCTGCTTTGTGACCTTTCTCTGTCATGCTCGGAGAATTTCCACTCTCTCCACTCCCCACCTCCCTTCAGAAAAGAGGATGAAGCATCTTCTGCCAGCTCCAGGCAACCTCCTTAGCAAATCCACTGCCCCAAGTCACTTCATCCTGACTGGATGGTAGCTGGGTTCTAATGACCCACCATTGCGTCTGGTGGACATGTGGCGCAAAGTGATGGAAACACAGCAACAGAGGGGCATTCATGATACAGCAGTTTTCACAGTAACTACTTTGCCATAGCAACCAGAATTCATAAGTCATAAACACGTTCCATAAATCATCCCCAAGACCCCTGCTTCCCTATGAGCACCCAGGGGCAGGTGGGAGATGCAGCACACACTGCACTGGTTTGCAGCGAACATAAAGAGCACTCCCTGAGGCATTCCCCCTGCGTGCCTCACCCAGGGCACCACCACTGAGGGAATCCCCATGCTCACCACCATTCAATGGATCAAGAGCTCGATTTGGACCCCGGCTAGACGACCGCCCTGTTAACATCTGGGCTCGCCTCTCACACAGAAAGGGCTGCTGCTCACTCCCAGGCCAGACCTACCAACCTTATTCCCTCTTCTGCCCCTGCAAGAAGGCTAGTTTGATTTCCCTGCTAAATGTGGCTAAAACGTGCAGTTAGTGAGTCTGGGGTTAGTGACTCTGGAGGAATCTCATGAATAAGGACTTTAGGGGGAAAGATAAACTGACATAAGCAAGGCTCTTTCTGAGTCACTTGCAGGCCCTTCTTCTGGGAACACTTAGGGAAAGCAGGCTGCCTTCGAGAACGGGCTGGGAGGAGCGGGTGGTGAGAGAAGAAGCTGTCCCTTGTGAAATGCCGGATCACTTCACTGCTGCTACTGAAAAACGGTTCCCATTTTCCACTCCAAAGTGCTCCCACGGGAACAAAGGCTGCGTGTTCTCAATCTCAACCCTGTTAAAAGGCCTGTGTTTCTGGCTGCAGCGCTCTGCACTGGGGGGCTGGTATACGAGTGTCTGAGCAACTGTTAAAGGAAGTCTCCTTTATTTGAATGTGACTTAATGGAGGAGAAAAGGTCGGACTCCATTACCAACACCTGACTCAGTAAGCACTGAAATCAGAACACTGTTTGCTTGTGACTTTTAGTTGTATCTCAGGAGTCATGACTTAAAGAGATCATCATCTAGTAAATGAGTATGCCTAGCTAGAACCCAGTGGGTTTTCTCAGCAGCACCATTCTGGTTGAATTAGGAGTTTCTTTTGGGACAAGAGCCAGAGATGCAATTTAGAAAATATAGCTTTACAACCGGAGCTAGTTACTTTAGATGCCATCAACCCCTCCGCTAAATTAGACAATCTTTGCTCAGTGGGCTAAATTCCTCCATCTGCTAACAGGAGCGAGCAGTGTCAGTACCCCCAAAGGAGCAGGGAAGATGGTTCTGCAGCATCTACGTCCCCGGGAGCACCTTCCACAGGACTTGGGCTCTAGGGATAATAGGGCTGGATCTAGAGGGGTTGGAGTAGCACAACAGTTGTTCTTTAGACCATGTTCCACGCCAGAGCCTGCAGCTATCCAACTGCAGATCTGAGTAGGGGATAAAGCTGCTCTAAGCAAGATTAACTTCCAGTAGATTCTACTGTGCAGCTGGAAGGGGAGGTGGCTGGTACAGCATAACTCCTAGATGATGGGGGTGGCTTCTGAAGATGTACAGATGCCTATTGCACCTCAGGTCACCCGCTCATTTGAGGCCAAACCCCTGCACATTTAGCAGGGATGGGGAAAAACATCAGAGGTCATAGCCCATTACCTTGATTTTTCCCAGATGGGGAGAATCTGGACCTGTGTAAGGATTGTGAGACTGCAGCTGACAATTATATATGTCTGCAAGACTGTTCATGCTGTGGGTGGGGTGAGACAGTCTATACATTGTGGGTGGAGCAGGGCTGTAATACACTGGGCAAGGAGGGACGGTCCATACATTGTGGGGTGGGGCAGAATGGGATGGTGTTGCAGGGCTGTCCGTACACTATGGGCGAGGCAGGGCTGTACATACACGTGGGAAGCAGCTTCTCTCTACAAGGGGCAGGGTGCAGACAATTGTTCATTTCTTCCTATTTTCATTTGCAGGCACAAATATGAATTTTTGCACAGTGGGACAACGCCAGACATTAGGATTACAATTCCCCCCAAGAGGATTGGCATCCTGCTGGACTACGACAACTGGAAACTGTCTTTTTTTAATCTGGATATTGCACAGCACCTTTATACATTCAACAGTCACTTCCAGCATTATGTGCACCCCTGTTTTGCTTTAGAAAAACCTGGGCTCCTAAGGATACGTAATGGCATTGCGATGCCCACATCTATTACTCTTTTGTGATCTATGGCTTGAGTGGCAGCTGCTGAGAATGGCACGTGTGTAACAAATTGACAAAAGCCCTATATCACAATCACTTTCTCCCTTTTAAGTACACACCGTTTATGCTTCAGCAAATAATTAAAGGCCCAGTACTGCATGCAGAACGCCTATGGAAGGCACCATCAGCTGAAGGCTTGCAGGATCAAGCCTGCAGATTGCTATATTTGTCCTATGTCATTCAGAGGCTTCATAAGCTCAGAAAGTTTCTCACCTTGCTGGAGGTGGACAGGCTCATGCTACCACACTAAAAAAAAGCAGTATGGACACTGTGGATTGGGCTGGAGCCCACGCTCTCAGGTCTAGGTAGCAGGAATATTTCTACCTGAGGTGAGAGCTCAATCCCACCTGTAGTGTAGACATTCACAAGCTTATAAGGGTATGTTCACAGAAAGAGAGGAAATAGCTCCAGGGATTGAGATCCTGGGAAATGAAAGTCTCTTCCTTTTAGGGCATTGGTTTGAATCCAGCCCAAGCTAATAGTGACAAGCAGTTTGGTCAATGGGAAATTAGTCAGTAGGGTCAGCCCTGTTCTTAGTGGAGAGGAATTCAGATCACAAGAGCCATCACACTTAGCTCCATTGTCAGCAATCTCCAGAGAGGGCCAGGTCCAAACAGGTATGGAGATTTACCTTCCTTGTCCTTTCCAGAGGTGATCGCATCAGCTGAGGTTTGACACACAGAGGGGACATTTGAGTTGGGAGGTGATATTCCCTACCCATGCTTCAGAGTAGCAGCTGTGTTAGTCTGTATCCGCAAAAAGAACAGGAGTACTTGTGGCCCCGCCTGGTCTACACTGGGGAAGGGGGGAAAATCGAGCTAAGATACGCAACTTCAGCTACGAGAATAGCGTAGCTGAAGTCGACGTATCTTAGATCGAATTAAAATTACTTACTTCGTGTCCTCGCGGCGCTGGATCGACAGCCGCGGCTCCCCTGTCGACTTTGCTTCCGCCTCTTGCACTGCTGGAGTTCAGCAGTCGACGGGAGAGCGATTGGGGATCGATTTATCGTGTCTACACTACACGCGATAAATCGATCCCCGATAGATCGATCGCTACGGCGGGTAGTGTAGACGTAGCCTTAGAGACTAACAAATTTATTTGAGCATAAGCGTTCGTGGGCGACAGCCCACTTCATCGGAAGCATAGAATGGAACATATAGTAAGGAGATCCACGTGTGTGTGTGTGTGTGTGTGTGAGTTGCTCTACCAACTCTAAGAGGCTAATTAATTAAGATGAGCAATTATCAGCAGGAGAAAAAAAACTTTTGTAGTGATAATGACAAGAAGGTGTGAGGATACTTAACATGGAGAAATAGATTCACTGTGTGTAATGGCTCAGCCATTCCCAGTCTCTATTCAAGCCAAAACTGATGGTATCTAGTTTGCATATTAATTCAAGTTCAGCAGTTTCTCGTTGGAGTCTGTTTTTGAAGCTTTTCTGTTGCAAGATTGCCACCTTTAAGTCTGTTACTGCATGACCAGAGAGGTTCCATTCTATGCATCTGATGAAGTGGGCTGTAGCCCACGAAAGCTTATGCTCAAATAAATTTGTTAGTCTCTAAGGTGCTAAGTACTCCTACCCATGCTAACTCACTAAAATGTAGGCATGTAGCCGGGGTAGCACAGGCGGTGACTCAGGCTTGGCACCCAAGTACATACCCACCCAGATGCCCTGGGTATGTCGTGAGGTGGCTAGCCTGAGGCACCATCCATGCTACCCCCGCTACATCTATGCATGCTGGGAATCACACCTCCCAGCTCAAATGTAGAGGTACCCAGAGTGAGGATGGCAGTCTGCATTGCTTTTATGCACAAGGAACTCCAGTATCTTTTGACGATCATTTCTTACACAAAAGCAAGTGATTTCTATTCTTGTTTATGTTCGACAAAGAGCTAGGAAAGAGCTGTACAAAGATGACCAGAAAAGCAAAGGGCTTAATCACCACACAGTTGTCAGATGAAGCCAAACATGCTCGTAATTTACACAAATACCATAAAGCTAATCTTAAAGTCAAGTATTTTGCAGCTGCATGAAGTCTATGAAACAAGATAATCAGATACGCCTCACTCTCACGTGAATCATCAGCTTTTGCCACTAAGTGAGGCCTTGTGAAATAATCAACCATGCATTATACGCTCAGTCATTAAAGACATTGTATAAAATGCCCATGCTTCGCATTCAGTTTTTCAGCAAAACTGCAGACTAGGCTCTTCATGGCACTATGCTGCCTGCAAATAAAAGCCGCAGGCATCATTTTTAGCATGCGCTACTTAGCCATGCTCACACCCTTAGATGCCAACTGTACTGCCACTCTCAAATCTATTCACACACACCTCACGACTGCAGCAAGGGGGAATAGAATCGAGGAGCTTGTCTTTGATGCTGTGCCCTTGGCGTGAGGGCTCCCCAACCCAGGTTTGAAGTACTCTGATCCAACATTTGATTTCACTTGCAATTTATTTGTTTGGACTTCACTTAGGAATAACTTTAAGGTACTGGAAGGCTTGCCATATTCCAGCTGTCAAGCCTGGAGGGATTCCGGCTTTAGGTAGCTTCACAAGTGCATCAAAGCTATTTACATGAAATCAAGAATAATTAGCTGAATGCAGTAATGCAGATTTATTTAGTATTCATATTACAAAATAATTGGTATAGCTTTACATACTAGAGGATGCTCCAAGAATGAACCAAGTCTGCAAAATGCACATTCCATAGGAATAAACACAGGCCTTGAAAAATCAGTTACCAGCATTACAGGAGTAAGAGAAACAATTGAGGTGGGTGCAGACAATTTAAGATGAAGGCAATGACTGCTGCTAGCTCCTCTCTGAAGATGTCTGGCAATACTAATCTATCGAGGTACGACATCACCTTTTAGAGTTTATCCTAGCAACAATCCACAGATTCTAAGGTCAGAAGGGACCATTGTGATCATCTAATCTGACTTCCTGTAGAACACAGGCCGGAGAGTTTCACCCAGTAATTCTGGCACTGACCCAAATAACTTGCAGTTGGCCAAGAGCACGTATTTTAAAAAGATGTCAAGGTCCAGATTCTTAGCTGGTGCAAACTGTCTTAGCTCCATTGATGTCAGAGTTATGACAATTTACACCAGCTGAGAATCTGTCCCTTAAATCTTGATTTAAAGACTTCAAGTAATGGGGTCTCCATCACATCCCTTGGTAAGTTGTTCCAATAGCTAATTACCCTTACTTAAAAATATGTGCATCATTTCCAGTTTGAATTTGTCCAGCTTCAACTTCCAGCCATTGGACCTTGTTATGCCCCTATCTGCCAAATTAAAGAGTCCTCTACAATCAGACATCTTCTCCCATGTTGAAGGAAAAACTAATCAAAATCTGGAAGGAGAAAAACAAAACAAAAAGACAACATAAGAGAAGTATTAAGATGACTGAGTAACCTTCTGAGGAGGCAGCATTAACCATGTCACTTAAGGCAGAAGGGGAAGAAGCTTTCCCAAAATAGGCCTATTAAATGACTGCTGGCTTCCATCCAGACACAGGTGTTCTTCTTGACCTAGGCTCGAATGATGCCACTCACCACTAACAGCCTTACATCCTAAAGAGTCTTTCATCCATATCTATATTCTTGCACCATCCGTGTATTCTTTAGTCCAGAACCTGGTCCAGAACATATTCCAGCTGGTAAGCAGTCATCAGAGTCCATAGCACTTCCCCACCTCCCTGGGATGCAGTGAGGATACGTCATTGTGAGGGGCTCAGATGGCTCTGACAATGGGGGCTTGTGGAAGTACCGTACCTAGGTCATTGTGTTGCTTGCTTTATGACTCTGCTGGACGGAGCAAGCCGGGTGGTTTACTACTGAATTGGGTGCGGAGCACAATAGGATTCTGTGTTCACTATAGGGGATGGCACATGACTGGCAAAGACAGCCACAGAAACATCTAAAAAAGAACAAATACACAACAATTAGCTACCAGGTTACAAACGACAGAAGAAATGAGCTTGCCGAGTTTTGCTTAATAAAAACGTCACTGGCTGGCTGTAGCCCAAGCATCTTTCTAGGGAATCCAAAGCTTGTTGCTTGCTTAAATATTTATAAAGCAGAAGAAGAGGCACAAGCAACCTGAGTTTTTTAAAACCAGCTGTCACTATGAGTAATCTTTAAACACATCCCTCAGTATTTAAGACACCATTTCCATTACAAGATCTATTGAGCCGTAGGAAGTTACATCAGCCCAGAGTTTTTGCACATGTGCTCACTGTAGAAGAGAAAGTTCAGTGCATCTTTACACAAGATAACGAGGGCCCGCCCCCCTACAGACTGAAACCTACATTTGAAAATAATGGATGAGGTTCCTACTGGAGCTAGAATGGGTTTTTACTTGTTAACCATGGCAGCCCCACAGCAGACTAATAACACTGCCATATGGGTTTATTTGATAGAAGAATGGTATTGTTAGAACATTTGCTTAATTATTGATTTAAGTGCCCGAGCCATTCCTTTGGGCAGGAAGATTATTTGAATGAAGCAAAACCAATTCTCCCCTCTGGACTGGCTAATGAAAGTTTGGCTCACTGTCAGAGTAGCCCATGTAAAAGGACAGCAGCAAATTTAAAACAAGCCACGCTTCTCTCTGAAAATGGCTTGCTCACTTCTGTTACACCACCACCCAAGACTAATATCTCCTGAGCTCCGTCGGTATTTTCTTTATGTCCTCAGTTTACTTTGTGCACTTGACAGCACAAAACCAAATTCCTCCTCACACAAGCGCAGCACTGAAGGAAGGTGTCTTGTGCCCTTCCTGTTTAGGGGATGATGCAGGCCCCCTGCATAGGCTAGGCTCAACTTACATTCCCGGTAACATAGCAGGAAGGAATTGCCAGAGCATATGACCACCCCAGCTCTTCTCACCTCTGGCCTGCCCCAGATCCACCCCAGAATGTCCCTGGACTGGGAACTTCTTCCAGGGAAGCCCAGAGGCTCCTGTGCTGGTGCTGTTTACCAGGGGCAAGAGGTACAGCCCCTTTGGGCAAACACAGCTGCTGCAAAAGACTGTAAGACAACACTGACGGTGAGCCTTTGTGGCTGTGTCACTGTATACTCAGCTTCCCCTTTTGGTTCATGGGGGGGTCTCTGCAGAGCAAGAGGGGAGGAAAAAACCCATTTTGATAAGCAGGAAAATGATGGTAAGGCCACAAACCCTGGCAGGAGGCTGAGAAGCAGGGATAATAGCCAAGCTACTCCTTTATTCTTTAATTGACTAGATTACAAGTTTCTTGTAATTGCTAAAGAGCACGCTGGATTCATTTTCTCTTTAAATGCTCTATTGAGCACATGACTCTTTCTGTGCTGGTATTTGGGCTAAATCTGTGTTAGGATTTTAAGAGAATGTCAAAATAATTTTTACTTTTTAGATTTTTCTTCACAGGGATATTTTACTCTATTACTCTAGAATGACAAGGATGTGAACAACAATATGGGATCAGGTTACTGAGAAAGCATATGTATAACCATACATGGATGGAGGGGGAATATCTTTTCTAAAATCTATCCCCTGAAGTGGCTCAATTTTTTTTTTTTTAAACAGTGCCTCCTCATCATTGTAATGTGTGAATACTTCACACATATTAACGAATTTACCCTCAAACTACCGTCCATGGTAAGGAAAGATCAACCCCATTTTGCAGATGGGAAAACCGAGATACACAGAGGTCCTAGGCACTACAATAATACAAATAATAATAATAAGTTCCAGCATCATACAGGGAGTCTATGGCAGAGCAGGGGATT